TCGCACTTGAATTAATACTACCCATATCTGGAAAAGGCATAGTAGAATAGTCCTTTATCCCAAACTCAATCTAACTCAACCCAACATAATATCTATTTTATATTTATTTATTTATTTATTAAATATTATCTACAATAATTTTTTTGTTATTGTTTTAGTTGTGATATGATAAAATAAAAGATATGATAAAATTGATAAGTTACGATTAAGAAAAAAGAGTAAAAAGATAGAAATTGCAATTATGTTCCAAAATATATCAATAGTGGTCTCTATTTATAGAGAATGAAAAATAAATTTTTATTTATTTTTTTCATATAAATTAATATCAATAATTTGAGTTACAATTATCTTATTATAGAAAAATTTTATAGACCAATAACAATGGGACATTGGCTCCATTTCACTCACCTCGTTTCTCTCTCCCTCATTTGTGGCTAGGTTGCGATCTAGGGTCACAATTTGACCTGAGTCGTAGATTTTGCTATTTTTTTTATTTTTTTATTATTTTTTAGTTGGTGAACTAATAAAGATAGTATACTATTTATTTTATTTTTATTTATTTATTTAATAAATATTATCTACAATACGTTGTTTAGTATTGTTTTATCTACAACCTAACCCAACATAATAATTTTAATTGTGTTCCAAAACATATCAAGAGTGGTCTCTATTTATAGAGTATGAAAAATTATGAATTTTGGTATTTTTTTATTTTATTTTTTAAAATAAAATAATATCAATAATTTGAGTTATACTTATCTTATCATATAAAATTTATAATGGACCAATGAAAATAGGACAAGTGTCCATTCCTAATGTATGAAAGTTAGATAATATGGAATCTCCAAAAAATCTTCATATAATCTTTTTATTTAGATTTTTTAATTTATTTATTTTTTCAAAATTTTCAAAATTGGTTGAACGACGCTCGAATTTTAATTTTTAGCCAAAAATCTTTCTCATTTGATTCACTTTGGGCGGGAATTAGCTTCTTTTTTTTGCTGATTTTTTTTCATCGTTTTTCAAATAAATATCATTCCCTCTTTATATATTAATAGATGGTATTAAAATACAATTAATACATATAAAATGATCATAAATAAATCAACATATTTATGATAATCCGAACCTAATTTTATTGGATTGAAATTAAATTAAAATCTATCCAAGCCATATAATAAAGCATAGAATTTCAACACCTAGGATTCGGGAGCATGCGAGTCTGCCACTTAGGCTCAGCATTCGGGAATCATATATAGGAAATTATTGAGTTATATACTCTATAAATGTGCACATAATGAATTTTTTATTTTTTTTTTAATAAAAATTAGGGAATATAGATGAAGGGGAATTGAATGAAATGGATATAAATTACACATTCATACGAGTACACAAATGCTGGCACACGCGCACAATTTGCTCAAAACAGCCTTTTGCATGACAAACAAATCTTCATCATCTATTTAAAATATATACCATCTACACACCCGAAACACCTCACTCTGGAAAAGCTTTGACTATGAAGAGTGATGAGCTTGTAACGCCCCAAGCAGATTTTTCACAGCACTATCATAGTTCAAGAATCCCATGAACCAGAACTCATGATTGTCAACTGAAATAATCTGGATATATTTCTCAGCTGGATTTAGTTTGCTTATTGTGGGATTAACTGCTTTCAGCTGATTCAATGGGATAACCACCTGTAAATGTTTAACAGAATTAATCCAGTGTTTTCATTGGCATGACTGACTATGATTAGAATGAATGTTCGAGAAGAAACATGGAGACGAAGAAACTTACAAGTGAACCTTTTGTGTGGGAATTACAATTAATTTCATGGAAGTCAATTTTCTGTTAAAGATGAGATTGTGTGGAAAGAATGCAAAATATTCTAGTATATTTAGAATTCATTGAATACTGCAATTTCAAGTTAATCAGAAACACAACCATTAAGGAACTTAAGCAAAACACAGAGACATAGAAACCAAAACGAAAGAATGAACAAAAAGCTAGGACATCATAGGGAAATTTGAATTCACGAGCAAATAGTATAGTGAATATCGCAATGTGCATCTGCACATACAAAGGGTCGAGATTCAAAGCATGTAAAGACTGATAGTCTCGACAGCAAGTTAATATACAGGCAAAACTTAGAAACATAACAACCTTCTGTTCTTTTATTCATTCATTTACTTATTCTGTTAGAAAATGTTCCCAAAAAAGAATGAAACTTGAATGCATTCAATTATCTAGAAAAATAGCACGGTCGGGGTAGTATGTCGTGGCAGTTCCATTTTATGTGATAACAAACAAGTCTACAAATGTTGATGATAATTACTTTAAATGATTCCCTCCAATATAGAAAGCAAATGATGAGTTACAAGCAGCCACATGATTGCAAACATAAATATCTTAATATATAACAGCACAAAGCACAACCTATATCATCATACCTTGTAATAGCTCCAGTGGACCTCCTCAGAGACTTTGTATGAAAGGGGATTATCACTGCAAAATGCTACCTTGGCGGTTGATACATAGAGGACACCAACAACGGGGCCCGCAGAAGTAGACAAGTAGCAACCGTAAGATTTGAGCAGCTTCTCATCTGGGATATTTTCAAATGAATTCTGAAAGACCTTTTCATATCCACCTTCAGCCAAAACCTTAGTACTCCGTGCTATCCTTCCAACAGCTGCGTCAGCGACACTTGGACCCATTTTCACTGATGAAGGTAAATTAATATAAAGACCATTTGCCAAGTCACTAATTAGGGGAAAAAAAATTAATATCATTCTAGTACAATTGTCTCTTTTATCATCACCATATTAAGCAAATCTAATAATTACCAAACAAAGAAAAATGATAATAAAAAATGGTGATCAGATAAAATTAAATTTAGCCACTTGAGTGGAAAAACATAAATTTAGATACAATTAATTAGACGAATTATGGTGGAATCTAACTGTTCTAAAATCATAAGCAGGTAGGCTTGTTCACGTATTCAAAAGCAAGAATTCTAATCGCAATTATCTAAGCACTTCAAGTGCTGCCGCTATGAGGCTAAGAGTAACATGGAATTAAAGTTACGAATTTCCTAAAGGATGATCACAAGCTAAAACCTGCCTAGAATCATGACTTTGGAATGACTTAAATACTGCTATAATTGCAGAAACAGGTAACAAAATATATGCAATAAATGGTATCTCTAAGGTTTAAGAGGCAAGGTATGGACTTTTCAGATGGCTTTAATTTGGCATTAATAGAAAATGGGTAATACGTCAGGAACTTGGCTGATTAGTATTAGTTAATTAAAATGCATAAACATGGAGTGACAAATACAAAAATGTTTGTAGAAGTATAAAGTGTGTTTGTGCGGGAGGGGAGAGACTGAGAGATCTGTCTGCAGTTTCAATTCCATTATCTCTGGTGCTTAGACTAATAATTATTATTAAATCTCACAAATATTATATAACGATAGAATCAAGTTAGATGTATGGTCATCATATATGTCAGGGGATTTTATGTGAATCCTTGCAAGGGTTTAATATACATTTGACATACAGATAGTAAACCTCCATTTACTATGTGAATTCTTTTGCATTAGTAACTGATGAACTTACAAAGCATTTGCAATTGGATTTCACTGTTTGTGAATGACAGTGTTAGTAGATGAGACGAGAGAGGGGGTAAATGCTAAGTTAGAAACATGGAGAGATGGGCTTGAAACAAAGGATTTCAAAATAAGTAGGGCCAAAACGGAATATATGGAGCGTCATTTTAGTAATAAAAGGAGTATAATGGGTTGAAAGTTAAAAATTGGAAAACACGAATTAAACTCATATAAAAGTTTTAAATATTTAGGATCCATTCTAGAAGATAATGGCAGCATAGATAAGGATGTAACACATAAAATTCAATCGGGTTGGAACAAGTGGAGGTGCGCGTCGTCGATACTTTATGATTGTAAAGTACCAATGAGTTTGAAAGGCAAGTTCTATCGAACGGTCATTCGACCGACGATGCTTTATGGATCCAAGTGTTGAACTACTAAATATGAAAATGATCACAAAATGCGAGTGTCAGAGATGAGAATGTTGAGATGGATGTGTGGACATACTAGGTTAGATAAGATTAGAAATGAAAGCATTACATTAGAGTTTAAAAGGGGGAGAAGTAAACCTAAAAGAACTTGGAAGGAGACCAAAAAAAAAAAAAATGATTCCAAATATTTAAATTTGAATGAGGATATGTGCTTTGATCGAGCACGATGGCGACATGTGATCCATATAGCCGACCCCACTCAGTGGAATTTTAATGGGTTGTTGATTGATTGATTGATATAGTAAACCTCCCAACTCTAGAAATAGGTACTCATGAACACCATTCAATTTGTTAAAAGACATGCTGCAGTGATATTTGTAATTTAGTTTATGCTCATAGTTCACACCACTCATGGTTCTTGTAACCCCCAGAAGATACAAATGTCGTAGTCTCAAACTTCGAATCACATGTGCTTCGTTAACAGCTCAACACTTGCTGCTCATTTCAAGCAAATCTAAGGAAAACTCTATTCTTGGTGTTTCAATCTCGATGGATTATTTTATCGCAATTAGGTCTACCCTGAAACTCCAAATAACATTAGATTCTCTTCTCTTAGGAAAATCTACCTCACATCATCCTCTTATCACGTAACCTTCTCAAACTGGAACAATTTAGCAAAACAAGTTTTCGAGTAATTAGTACAAATAAATCCATATATTCATAATTACACCTTTCCTGCCAAAAGATGGTGTTCAAGATTCAACACATGGACAACAGGAAAAAAGCATCAAAATGATCTACCTAACAATATTCTGCACAGGCAACTAAACTCCATTCCTAAGTTCAGTATATTGAGCAAAATAATAATAATAAAAAAAGGAACTCACAGTGCTGCCACATATTTCCGGCCAAATCCTCCGCCTTCCTAGTTGCCTCTGCAGCCTTCTTCCCCCATTGACCTAACACATTCTTGACCTTGTCCAAGTTATCTGACCTCCCCACAACCCAATGTGTAGGAACAAAATTAGCGACCTCCAATAAATAACACACGATATAACCAGAAAAGGGATCCAAAAAAAGTAAAAGAATAAAAA